TTTGCCACCTGTTCTTTCTTAAAGTCTTATAAAATCAATTCCATTTACAAGAAGAAAATGGAAGGGGCTGTGGATTTAGCTCAGCGGGGCACAGCACCTGCCTGGCAAGCGCAAGATTGTGAGTTCAATTCCCGGTACCGGAAAAAAAAACAAACAAAAATAAATAAAAAAAAAAAAGAAAGAAAATGGACTCAATTCTGTGGCAATGGTAGCTGGTAATTTTATAATTACTTTCCTTTGGGCAGAGTGTGGTGGCACAGACGTGTAATCCCAGCACTCAGGAGGCTGAGGCAGGAGGATCACAAATTCAAGGCCAGCCTGGACTGGTGAGATACTGACTCAAAAAAAAAATTACTTTCACTGGAAATACTGAAAACTGGAAATGACAAATTTTGACATTTTGGGGGTAGTTTTCTAGCCCTTGAAATCAAATACCCTGGGGCAGGACTTGCCTTCAAAGACAGTGTTTTGGACTTGGGTTATAAGTGGCCAAGAGAGAATAAGTCCCAGAGGCAGAAGGCTGATACCAGCTAGAATGAAAATGTTACAGGGCTTCCCCACAGTGCCAGTTTGTTCTTGTCTAATGATTGTGGTTGTTCTTTATTTTATTTTGGTGGTGGCACTGGGGATAGAACCCACGGCCTCATGCACATTAGGCAAGTGCTTTTACCACTAAGCCACATCCCTGGGTAGGCTGTTCCTTGTTAAATGTATGTTTCTGTGGTCCTCAAGATGGAAGCCAGGCCCTTGTACATGTTAGGCAAGTATTTTACATTGAGTTACATCCCACCCATCTCCCCCCGTCCCTACTGGGGATCAAACCCAGGAGCATTCTATCACCGGGATACATCTCCAGCTCTTTTTTAGTTTTTATTTTGCAACAGGGTCTACCTGGATTGCCCAGGCTGCCCTCAAAATTGTGGCTGGGACTACAAGTGTGTGTCACCCTGCCTGGCCTGTTCTTTCTTATACAGAAAAATGGCCCATAATCTTAACATTCAGAAACCAATTAACATTTTAAAAATAAAATACAGCCAGGCATGGTGGCACACCCCTGTAATCTCAGCAGTTGGGAGTCTGGGGTAGGAGGATTGCTGAGTTTGAGACCAGCCTGAGGTACACAGTAAGACCCAGGCTCAAAAAACAAAACAAACAAAAAAAACAAGCACATCCCATCCTCAGGAAAACAGGTAGAGTGGCATACCCAAAGTGTGAGCAATGCCTCACCAAGTGTGTTTCCTCCACACATCTGAGCATTATGATGTGAAAGTGCAAAAAGAAAGAACAAGAACATCTGGGTGCTCACCTGGTAATCCTAGCTTGGGAGGCTGAAGCAGGAGGATGCCCGTGAATTCAAGGCCAGCCTCAGCTACACAGTGAGTTCAAAACCAGCCCAAACAACATAGCAAGACCCTGTCTCAAAAAGAGACAGACAAAAGAAAACAACATGGGCTAAAATAAAATGGGGAGCCTGATGTTTCACGCAGCAAGTACTCTGAAGACATTTACTCTCTCGTAGTGTTTTACTTTAATCATTTTTTAAAAGAAGGGTGGGGTGTCTGGATAAAGGAAATCATCCCAAGGAGCCTTAAATAACGGATTATAAATCTTTTTGTAAAACCATACAAATATTTCAACAATAAATGCACTCCAGAGATACAAAGAGAAACCAAAACGAATGAGCTTGGGGTTACACTTGTAAAGCCCCAAGTGGCCTCAAGGAAACAGGTGTGAGCGGCGCAGAGGGCTCCGCCAACCTCGAGGGAACACCACCCCCTACTGTACCCGTGAAATTGGAAAGCAGGAAAGCTGCTCGCAACCCAGCAGGGCTTCTGCTGGTCTGGATCAGAGAAAACCCAAGAAAGATGCCTAGGATGAGGAGGCTGTGTAGGGACTGGAGGGAAAACAGCCCAAACCTGTTGTGGGGAATTGGAATCCGCTCCCCATGGGAGAGTAAATGTAAGGCCTTCGAGGTCAGTAAAAAAAATTCCATCGGATGGTGACTTCAGCGGGGAGGCGACCAAGTGCCTTCTGCTTGTGGCCTGCTGCATTGGGGACGGTCCTGGAGTCACAGCTAAGAGCAAGCCCTGACGCTTCCTCACTGGGACAGCGGAACCAGCGGCTTTCTGGCTATGGCTTGGCAACTCCTTCCTTCCTTCCTCCCAACTCCTTCCTTCCTTCCTCCCAACTCCTTCCTTCCTTCCTCCGCACCGGGCAGGGCTCCAGCCCTGGGAAGGAAGCCTCAGGGAGGGGGCGATCGGGAGCGGATCGGGGAGCTGGTTAGGAAGGAGGTGTAGGGACTGTCCCCAAACACGTTGGCATAAGAGGACTTGAGGAACTGGACGTAGTTCTGCATGCTTCGGTTGGTGCTCTCCGACTGCTCCAGGCGGTCCTTCAGGTCCTGCAGGCGGCTCTGGTAGCGGCGGTCCGCCTAGGGGAGAAATGGGGTGAACAGGACAGCTGATTCGGAGACACAGGACTTTCACGCAGGGTGTCAGGCTGGGGAGGTGCACAGGGAGTGAAGACAAAGTCTCTGTGCCAGATGTGGTGATGTAGACCTGTAATCTCAGCCCTCAGGAGGCTGAGGCAGAAGGATCCACTAGAGTTCAAGGCAAGTGTTGGTAAATTCAAGGTCAGCCTGGATGACACAGTGAGACCCTGGTCTCAAAAACCTTAACAAAGAAAGGAGAGACACAGAGAGACAGAGAGACAGAGAGACAGAGAGACACAGAGAAAAGGCCTCATCATGTTGCCCAAACTGGCCTTTAACCCCTAGTCAAGCGATCTTCCTGCCTTGGCATCCTGAATAAAAGAGTACATCACCATATCAGGATTGGGGATTTTTTTTTTTTTTTAAATTCCAAACCTAGATTATCGTGGTAATTGGATGACTTGAGTGTACTCCAGAAAAACTACCAAATTCTACAACTGGATGTGGGCTTCTTGTTATGAAGCCCAGGCTGGCCTCAAACTCACAGCAATCCTTCTGCTTCAGCTTCCCGGGTGCTAGGATTACAGACATGCACCATCTTGGCCCAGCTGAATTGTATAATTTAAGTGAGCAAATTTTATGGGATACAAGTGTCTTATAAAGTTGGGGTTTTTTTGTTGTTTGAGACAGGGGCTCACTATGTAGTGCAGGCTGGCCTCAAACCTGCAGCGATGCTTTTCCCTCGGCCCCCTGAGCACTGGGGTTATGTGCGTGCACAACCATACCCCGTTGAAGTTGTGTTTAAGAGGTATCTACATGGGGAAAGACAGAGATGGAAAAGGAACTGGGAAAAAACGGTTAGATTCATGCGAACAGTGACACAAGAACACCCTACCCTGCAGGTCCCAAGGACTGAAGTGCAATCGGGCCCTGTGTTTTGGTCCCCGCCTCCCGCCAGACTCACGTCCTCCCGGCTCCGCCGAAGCTGGCTCAGTTCGGTCTTGGTCCTGCTCAGCTGGGTCTCAAGGTCCAGGATTTTGTTCTGGGCCGCTCGCTCTTTGGACAGTGCCTGCTCCTTGGTCTGCTCCACCTGCACAGAAGGCACAGAGGTGGGCAGCTCCCCTGGCGCCTGGCAGACAGAAGCCTGGCACGGCGGCGCTTGCACACTGGTATGAGAAGAGCTCCCAGAGGCTGAGCGCAGGAGCTAAGGGTGGAGCCTACGCCTGAGCCCCCGCTTCGCTACCCTTCCCCAGCGAGGACTTGCAGGAAACTAGCCATCCTTGAAATCGTGACAGTCCTCCTGCCTCGGCCTCGTAGCACTGGGGTTACTGGCGTGCCCCGCTACTCCTGATTCTCCCCACGAGGACACGAGGCTCCCCACGAGGTGGCAGGTGCCACCTCACCCACTTGTCAGATGGGCAGACGGGCTCAGAAAGCTGCGGTGTTGCCGAGGTCACAGAGCACAGCAGGACTGACAGACACTGACCTGCCGCCTGGCATCCTCGAGGGCGCCCTCCAGCTGCCTGGCCAGTGACCCGCACTCCCGGGTTTTCTCCTCCAGCCGCAGCTGGGACAGGTGGATCGCCTCCTCCCTCTTGGCGATCACCTGCAGGAACTCGACATTCTGGGCGCTGGTGGCCTCCAGTTTCCTAAGTGAAAGCGCCCAGTCAGACCCCGCGCCAAGCATCTCCGAGGTCTGCAACGAGCAGGCAGCCGGGCACCGGGCAGTGGGAGCACTGGTTAGAGAGCAGCGAGAGGACGGCGGCCCGCAGCTCGGGAGGGGCGCTTGCTGGGGTCCGCGTAGCGGTCCCTGTCACCAAGTTGGAGCCTTCAACTTCCGCTGTTCACTGTGGCCTCCCTCGGCAAAGGGACTTCAGCTGGACCACTGAGACAGCCCGCAGGCAGCCGTGGCCATTCCAGGGACACACACTGTCCCCGCTGCCTTCTAGACACCTTCCAGTTTATCGTCACCGTGATTACATATTCGTTTGGCAGTTCCAGGGATTGAACCCAAGGCCTTCACACTGAGCTACCTCTATCTATCTTTTTGAGACAGGTTTCACAAAGTTGCCCACACGGCTTGAACTTGTGATCCTCCTACCTTGGTCATAGGCATGGCTACACCTTCTAATTTCCCTTTTTTTTTTTTTTTTTTTTTTGTTTTTTTTTGGGTACCAGGGATCGAACTCAGGGCCTTGAACTTGCCAGGCAGGTGCTGTGCCGCTGAACCACATCCCCGGCTACACCTTGTTTAAGGAGAGTCCAGAGTCCTGCGAGGCAGGGCACAGGTAGAGCCTAGGAGACACTGCCCAGTGCCAGCTCCTACAGGGCTGTGAGGACCCTGGGCCCATCATCTCTGAAGCTCAGGCTGGGCCCAGGAGATCCCAGTGTCCTTCACCAGGTGCTAACAGGTTCCAGTGAAAAGCAAAGCTTTGGCAGTGCCCAGCTGTGACCCCTCCCTCAGCTCAGGGCCTCCATAAGGAAACTGGGCTAAGACCAGCCGGCAAATGTAGACTGACGTATCGTGAGCCTCTCTGTAGGAGGTAACGTGCTAAGCCTGCTCCATGACCCTCTCACTGAAGACTCAGGCCTCACCCTTGAAGGAACTTTGGAGAGCTGAGGCAGGAGGATCGCTGTGAGTTTGAGGCCCCTCTGGACTACACAGGGAGACCCTGTCTCAAAAAAACAGAGCTGGGGATATAGCTTAGTGGCACAAGTGCCTGTCTGGCAAGCACAAGGTCCTGAGTTCGATTCCCAGTACTAATAAATAAATAAATAAATAAATAAAAAAAAAAAAAAAAAAAAAAAAAAAAAAAAAAAAAAAAAAAAAAAAAAAACCTCACAAAATACCCCAGCTCCCAAAAAAGATGAGAAACCTTAGGTCCAAAGTAGTGAAAAGATTTGCTCAAGGTCACAGTGCAATTGAGTGGCAAAGCTGAGACCCAAAGCAGGGCTTCTGATTCCAACAGTCCATGAGTAAGACAGTGGTTAGATCAGAGGGTCACAGTGAAGGTGACTGGGAACACAGGACAGCAAAACAGGGAGCAGGCTGAGGGTGTGTAGAGCAGTGGTACAGCATTTACCTAGCATGAGAGAAGACCTAGGTTCGAGGTCCCAGGAGCACAAAAAAAAAAAAAATATATATATATATATATACACACACACATAGAAGCTAGGCATGGTGGCACATGCCTGTAATCCGCGCACTTGGGAGGCTGAGGCAGGAGGAACTTCATGATCCAAGCTCAAGGCCAGCCTGAACTACACAGCGAGACCCTGTCTCAAAAAAGGGCAGGGAGAAGCCCCCGCCCTTCCTGCACACCAGGCCCGCTGGTTCGCTAGGACCAAGCGTGCCTTTGGCATAGGTGGTGCCCGGGGCAGGCTGACTGGTCACAGCGTCCAGCAGTGTCCCTGAGGCTGAGAGCCCGTTCCCCTGTCCCGCGTCCTTACCACTGCAGGAGGCAGCGTCCTCTGAGGTCTGCCTAGCACCTTCCGGGGCCTCGAGTCCCTCGGACACTTGCGCACACTGAGCACAAAGCAGCTAAGTGGCTGAAAGTCTCAGGTCCTAGGAAGACAACAGAGACGGGACCAAGTGCCTCTAACCTCTCCAGTTCATCCACCTTCAGACTCAGCTGTTTATTTTCCTTCTGGGAAGCCTGGTGTTTCTCTCTCGCCATCTCCAGCTTGTCCCCCTGGTGTTCGATCTAAAAGGACAGGAACACAGACTAGTTTACAAAGGAATTTCCCTTCGGGAGACCAGGAGGGAATCCTCCTTCCTCCCAGGACCTGTGGTCCACAGCCAGGAGAGGCCTGCGTCCGAGGCTCGGCGTAACCTGGAGAGGACAGCAGGGGCAGGGTGGCCTGTTGCGCCCCAGAGCCGGGCTGGCTGCTGGGGAAGCACACACAGTGTTGCTTCCTTGCTCCTCCCCTCAGGGAGGGGCCACTCTGGGTCCCAGCTGAGACTGCAGAGGCAGGGAAAGGCGGAAGCAGACGGTGACCCACCTAACAGGCCACCACCCTTTCCCAGTGACAACGCTGGCGTCATCCATTGCACCCTTCTCCTTTCCTGGGGACTGAGTAGCAAGGTGGCAGGACAGCCATCGACCTTCCGTGCTGGTGACTTTGAGAAGGCCCTGGGGGGCTGCTCTACGCAGAGCCTCGGGTCTCAGGGCTCCAAAGGTTCACGCAGGAGACAGGACAGCTAGAGTCTGAGCACACGGCTTGGGTTCCATCCCGTCAAGACACAGCAGCTCTGTGGTGCCGGGGCTCTCCTCTCCCCTGCAGGACCTAGGCTGCTCTCTAGGAAACGGAAATGACAGAGCCGCCTCACCGAGTTCCTGGCAAGTCCCTGAAAGAATGGCAGCTCGAGAGAGGGGACGGGCCCTGCCCAAGGCCACACTGCAGATGTGGTGGCCTAGCGTTTCTGAGTCGCGGTGGGCAGCGGGCTGGGTTCCGGGAACCCAGAGGCAGATCGCTGCTGGAGGAGCCCGAGAGCTCCTGCCCCTCAGGGCAGAATCTCAGCAGCGCGTCTGGGAAGAGCAAGCAGAAACGGTTAGAGCACGAGAAGGAAAGGGAGCAGCCTGGTGGGGCGGCGGAGCACAGCGCTGGGGTGAGGCAGGGCAGGGGCCCGGGGTCCCCGGCAAGTGGCGGCTCCTATGACGACAATCACTTTGTGCACACAAGGCATTTGGCACACCAGACTTTTATTTCACAGCACTGATGATAGCTCCCTCCTTTCCGAAGTGGCAGTCGAGAAAAAGGCGGCAATCGTCCCTTGGGAGCCGAGCGGCTCATCTTGGCAAGCGGGCCCCTGCTCGGGTCAGGTCGTGGGACCCTTTCTGCCAGTCCCTTACCCGGCTGCGCAGATCGGAGATGATGGCTGTCAGGTCGATGTTCTTCCTCTCGTAGCCCTGCAGCTGGTCCTGGCACTCGGCCAGCTTGGCCTCTGTGATCTTGAGGATGTCCGGCAGCTGCTGCAGGTCAGCCAGCTGCAACTGGAACTGCCGCCGCGCCTGCTCAGGGAAAGGGATGCAGCTGGCAAGGGCCTTGGGAGCGGGCAGGGCCGCCCCAGGGGATCTGCCAAACCCACAGGCAGAAGTGCGCCGCTGTAGCGGGGACACACAGCCTGCCTTGCTCTGGGGCTTGGATGCAGGTACAGTGGTCACTGAATAAAAATGGGAGCCAGGCGTGGTGGCGCATGCCGTAATCCCAGCACTCAGGAGACTGAGGCAGGAGGACTGATGTGAGTTTGAGGCCAGCCTGGGCTACAGTGAGTTCAAGGCCAGCCCAAAGTGCTTGGCGAGACCATGTCTTGAAGAAACAAACAAGCAAACCAACAAATAAAATGCTAAGGTCGCTCAGCCTAAGTCAGGGTTTAGGTCAAGACTAGTTCCCAGAGGCTGAAGCAGGAGGATCGTTGCAAGTTCGAGACCAGCCTGGGCTACAAAGTGAGCTCAAGGCTAGCCTGAACTGCACAGCGAGACCCTGTCTCAAAAAGACTAGTTCCCATGCCCTTAAGAAAGCAGCCAGAATGCCACAGGTGAAAGGTAGCATAAGAGATACCTGGGCTTGCGCATCGCTGTACATAACTAGGAAACAAAGGACAAGAGGGGAGTGAGCTGCCGGTTATTAAACTAATTAGTGGCTGAGCCTGACCCATCCTGTCTCCAGGGTTACCGCTAGGACGCTCCCTGTACTTGGCCAGCCGAGCAGCTCTGCAGCAGGCTCTCTGGGAAAGGGACAGGAGGCCTATATTTTGGTACGAAATAAAGACACCATGCAGAATGAAATGGATGTGCCAGAGACCCAGTGGACCTGTGGACTGAGTCTACCTCACTGTTCCGTGCAGCAGGGAGTTGTTTGCCATTTTTATATATTCTATTTTTTATTTTTGAGACAGTGTCTTGCTGTGCAGTTCAGCCTGGCCTTGAACTTGTAGTGATTCTCCTGCCTCGGCCTCCAAGTGCTGGGATTACAGTGTACCACTATCTGGCTATCTGCTTGTAGGAAACGGAAGCCGGGGACGTAGCTCAACGGCACTGCACATGCGTAGCATGTATAAGGCCTGGGTTTGATCCGTGGCATCACAAAAAAGATGCGGAAGAGGAAAAGGAAGAAGATCGAGGATGGAAGGATAGAATGTGAGAAGGAGCAAGAAAGGAGGAGAACACAGATGTGGGGGGGGGACGACAGGAAAGCCAGTCACTCTCTGTCATCCCAAGCGGGGAGCCAGGGCGCACGGAGGGCGGACACAGACTCAGAACTGGGGCGGGAGAAAGCAAGGAGGGGAGCAGTACCGCCTCGATCTCCTTGTTCATCTCGTCTTTAAGGATCTTGTTCTCCTTGTCGCAGCGCTCGAGCTGGGCAGCCACTTCGTCGGCCTCCAATCTGGTCTTCATCACCTGGGACCGGGACCACAGTGCGCCATGGTGGGCAGAGCCGGGCCGGGTGTGACCTGCCTTCCGCCCCCAGCGGTATTCTAAGCGGCCTACCTGGCTCTTATAATTGTCAATCATCCCCTCGTAGTTCTTCACGGATGCCTTCAGCTGCTGGACCTCGTGATGTGCCTGGTTGAGCTTGTCCTCCATTGGGGCGAAGCTGGCCTGAAGGGGCGGCTCATGAGCGGCCAGCAGGGAGGTCCCCATCGGGCTGCCCTCCCGCCCTCCCACTCTACTCCAAGGGACCAGCAAAAGCCGCTGGGCCTGGGGGCGCACGCCTGTAATCCCAGCACTCAGGAGGCTGAGCCAGGAGGATCACTGCAAGTTGGAGGCCAGCCAGGGCTACATAATGAGACACTACCTCAAAAAAGCCAAAAAATAAAATTAAAAAAAAGCAAGCACCAGCGAAGGCAAGGCCCCTTCCTCTAAGCCACACAGCAATCAGCAACTGTCCTCAACTCGAATGTGATCAACTGAAGCAAGCAGACACACAAGTAAGGAAGAGCTCGTATTCAAAAGCCACAAGCACCGAGGAAAGGGAGGGCCGGGTGCAGCTCGGGTGGAATCCCTGCTTGCCTCACACACATAACACCCCGGATTTAGGTCCCAGCACCACGGAGAAAAAGGACACAAAACCAAGACACGCTATTTACGCCTTATGGTTGATACATTGTGTCAACTTGGGGAGTCTAGAGGTTTGGCTAAGTGACTCAGCAGGGAGCCAGGGTGCTTACTTTGTATACATCCTGAGCCTGTGGAAGAGGAGGGCATGGAGATTATGTGAGAGCTACGCGCCCCTTAGGTGGGGGTAGCCTGTTTACAAAGTAAGGGAGGGAAAGAACCTGCTTGCCGCCATTCCTCCGGGTTTGCTCTGGCTGCACTGCTGTTCGGCTGCCATTCCCCCTTGCTCTTGTTGCTTTGCTGTCTTCTGCCTCGGAGCTAGCCACGTACAGACTGAAACTTCCACAAACTGTAAACTAAATAAACCTTTCCTTCCTTCATTTTGGGCGTTGGGTATTTTGTCTCAGTAACGAGAGAAAAAGTAACCAAGACACAACGCCTGTCACTGGCTGCATATTTACAGCTCTGTAGTTACTTTGTTTTTCCCAGCAGGCATGGGATTAGACTGTTCTCACTGCTTTGCAACATGCACGTGTATGTATGTGGGGTGCTGGGGACAGAACCCAGGGCCTCACACATGCTAGGCAAGCGCTCTCCCACTGCACCCCCAGCCCCCAGCGCCTCCTGTTTTAAACTTGTGTGTGCATACTTGGCTTTTATAATTATGCTAAGTAAAAAGATACATTCCTAGGGGGTGTAACTGAATGACAGCGCATTTGCCTAGTACGCACCAGGCCCTGTGTTCAATCCCCCAGCACTGCAAGGAAAAAATACACTTCTAAGAATATCATTTTGAAGCCAGGTATGGGGGCACACACCTGTAATCCCAGCAGCTGGGAGTCTGAGGCAGGAGGACCGCCGTGAGTTCGAGGCCAGCCTGGGCTACATAGAGAAACCCTGCCCCCACACTTCCCAAAAACCATAAATAAATAAATACAAGTATCATTTTGAATGGCTACACTGTATTATACCAGGCAGACGTACCAGACTATAACTAATCCATCTGCTAATTATCAGACCCAGGTTATTTTCAGTTTACTTTGTAGTACAAGGAAGACTTACTACTCACATTCCCACCAGAGTCGCTAAAATCAAGATGACAATTCCAAGGGTCACCAAGGAGACAGGGAGCAGCTGTCACTGCTCACACACCACCGCAGGGAACATAAATGCTCACAGCCACTTTCGCCTCTATACCACCCACTGGAGCCAGGGGGACAGCCTGGCAGCTTTCCTGCAGGAGCGAGCCAATCCAATGGGACAAACTCGCGCACAAAAAGGTGCACAGCGGCACTATGTGAACAATTCCAGAGGCCAGACGGCAGAACGGAGCAACAGACTGTGACCTGTGCCTACAATGACATTCCCCCAGCACCGAGGATGAGCAAACAGCCGCACCCAACAGGGGCGATAACACAAACACAGACTGGGCGAAAGCCACACGAGTATCTAAACTACATGAATCTTCTCAATGTGGTGGCGCACACATGTAATACCCAGCACTCAGGAGGCTGAGGCAGGAGGATCACTGCGAGTTCGAGAACAGCTTGGGCTACAGACAGAGCAAGTTCAAGGCCAGCCTGAACTGCATAGTGAGACCCTGTTTTAAAGAAACAGCAAAATAAAACAGACAAATCTACAAAGTTCAAAGCCAGGCAAAAGTGACCTGTGGGGACAGAAGTCAGGACAGTGGTCACCTCTGCAAGGTTGTTAGCCAAAAGGAGAGGTCACTGGGGTTCTGGTGAGGTTCATTCAGAATGACAAACCGTGTTCACTTTACGGAAATTCTAGGACTTACATATTTTTCCATGTAACTTCCTTAAGGTCAATCTTATTCAACAACGAAGTCAATAAACACAACAGTAAACAAGCCTAAAAGCTACTGCCCAGATTAGCAAACACCAAGGCCAAACCCGTCTCAGAAATGTCACCCTCTGTCTGAGCGCCTTTGGCTCTGGCGTGCTGGGCAGGTGCAACAAAAGCCAAGAGTCAGGGCTCCAGAGAGAGTCAGGTTCAAATCCCATCTCCAGTGCTTTCTCAGCACAATCCTGGCAAGACCCTGGACCCTCCCCAGACCACCGTTTCCTTATCTTTGGGGCCCCAAGCTCTGTCCTGCCAGGAGCCAGGAAATTCTCACCGAGCCCTACAGCCAGCAAGAGGCGGAGCCAGGACCTGGACCAGGCCTCAGCGACCTGCGCGCCCTCCCTTTCACTGTGCTGCTGACCTGAGCCAGGCGTGGTGGCACATGCCTGTCATCCCGCCCCTTGGGAGGCTGAGGCAAGACTGCTGTGAGTTCACAGCCAGCCTGGGCTGTACAGTGAGTTCAGGGCTAACCTGAACTATGTAGAGATGTCAGCTCAACCCAAAATCCAAACAGAAAAAAAGGACAAAAACTTGCACTGCTGCCCCCAGGCCTCCGAAAGACCCCCTGGCTGGTGTCTGCCCACCCAGGCCCACCAGCCTTGGCCTCCCCGTTCCCCGCCTGGTCCCCTGGGCCCCCGGGACCTTCAGCCGCTCGTTCTCCAGCTTGAAGGCGGAGTACTCAGCCGTCTGCCGGTGCAGTCTTTCCACCAGGCTGTCCCGGTCCTCCCGCATCTTTTCTTCCAAGGTTTGTTGCTGATTTACAAGATCTGTCACCCGGCTGGAAGGGGGCAAAGTGACAGCGGCAGAGGATCAACGCCACAGCTCTGAGGCCTCTCTGTGGGCGAGGCCCTGGGCTCCTCCCAGGCTGCCCCCATTCCTGGCTCCCCAGTTTCCAGGTGGCACAGCTGCTTTCCTGTGCCCGTGTCCTGCCTCCCAAGGGTCCTTCAGATCTGTTCCCCACGCCAGCCTCATCTACAGCTCAGTCACAAGCGATGACCTAGTGAGCACCCATCAGACTGTGATTCTGTTCCTCAGGGCCTCAAGGATACTCCTGTCCGTCTGGACCTCAGATGTGTCACACAGCCTTCCCTCTCAGTACCCATACCTCATGGTCCACCATTGGGCAAATACTTTTTTTTTTTTTTTTTTTTGGTTTTTCTCTGGTACCGGGAACCGAACTCACAACCTTGCGCTTGCCAGGCAGGCACTTTTTGCCGCTGAGCTAAATCCCCAGCCCCATTGGGCAAATACTTATTAGATGCTGCCTAGGTCCAAACACCTTCTCTGGGAAGTACGCACCTTATCTGACAAACTTTTACTCACCCTTCAAAACCCAGCTCTTATTTTCCCTGCTCAGACATTCCTTCCCCAACTCCCCTCATCTGTACCACGGCACTTCTACCTTAGAGATCTTCCTCCCACTAGATGAGAGCGCCCTGAGGATGGCACACAGCCTGGGGTCTCTGCACCTGCTGAGCTGGCGGAGGCTTTCCCGACCCGGGAGGCCCAGCCTCAGCCCAGGGAGCCCGAGTCTCTCGTAGCCCCGTCTCCTCCACTGGAGCACGGGGTGGGGAGCTCACGGGTCGTGTTCCTGCTGCTGCCAGGCAGCACAGAGCAGGGCAGGCGCCCGGGGCGGTCGCTGAAGCCCGCAGCCAGCTCCACCAGGAGCCCCGACCCAGGAGCCTCAGAGCCGCTGACCCAGGGCAGCTGGCCGTCGCCTGCAGCTCCTGTGCTGACACAGGGACCTACTCATTCAGGACGATAATTTCCAGCTCCAGGTCTCCCTTGTCCTTCACAACCTGGTTGTAGCGGCTCCTCCATGACTCCAGAGTGGATAAAGCTTCGGCAACATAAAGATCCTGGGCAGACGGAGAGGGCAGTCAGCCGCCTGGCGGTGCAGGGTTCACCCTAAGTGACCCCTGCCCCGTCTGCCTGACCCCTGCTCCAGGGCACCAGAAGCCGCTCCTGGACTCCCAGCACCACCTGCGGTGGCTGCAAACCCGGCACCATCACCCTCATCCCCAGAGCGGAAGTGGCCACGGGAGCCCTCAGCCATCTCCACCCACCAGCCCGCCCGCGACAGGGTCTCCCTGCCTAGCCCAGGCTGGCCTCAAATTCGCAGTGATCCTCCTGCCTCAGCTTCCTGGTGATTCTGCCTTCTCCTTTTCCCGTCAGCCCCTCAATACCCGCCCCCGAGTCCACGAGCGCTGTCCCTCCGCTCTCCCCCCGCTGCCCGCACCTTGTCTGCGAGCTGCACATGCAGCTGCTCGGCGTACTCCTCGCTCTTCTCGGCCCGCTCCTTCTGCGCCCGGATGGCCTTCTTCAGGGACTCCTTGTCTCGGTCTCCCTTCTGCTTCAGTTCCTTCAGCTGCTCCATGATGGCTTCCACCTCCGCCTTGTGCTGGTTCCCGCTGCGCTCCAGGTTCTGGGGCGAGGGGGCGGCAGGGAGGGGCAGAGGACGGCTCAGTGACTGAGCGAGCACCCTGGCGCCCGCCACCCCGCTCTCAGCACGCGGGGCCGGGGGGGGGGGGGGGGGGGGGGGGGCAGGGTGCGCGGGCGTCCTCTGAACGCCTGACCAGGTACTCAGCAGCGTGCTCGGTCAGCGGGCAGAGCAGGCCCTGCAGAGGACCCGGGCAGCATCAGAGACTGTGGTCCCTGGGGGGCCGGCTGAGCTGAGGGCCCCAGGGCACGGCTCCCTGCTCCCTGCCTGATGACCGCTGGGAGAGGCCCAGACCTTCAGGCCCCCTGACCTCCAGCATGGCTGTCAGTGCCCGAGTCTCTGCCCATAAAGCCCGAGTGAAGGTCCTGGGTGGGACCTCGCCAGGCCCCGCCTCCTCCGGCGCAGCCCCGTGGCCCGGCAGGCACCTTGCTGTTTTGGTTTTTTTTTGGTGCTGGGAATCGAACTCAGGACCTTGTGCTTGCCAGGCAGGCGCTGTGCTGCTGAGCCATATCCCCAGCCCTAGGCACCTTGATCTGCATGCACAGGCGACTGTTCTCAGCCTCTTTGCACCGGAGCTGTGCCTGCAGGTGCCCACGCATCGACTCCATAGACTTAGAAAGCTCAGACGCTGACTTTGCTTGGGCCTGCGGGGAGATCAAGCAAGGCAAACAGGATTTGAGCCTGGCTCCGGCACCCCACTGTGCTCTGCTGCGCTGGGTGGTGCAGAGGGAGGCGCGGCGCCGTACCTTCTCACACTGTATTTCCTGCAGGAGCTCTTCTACCTCCTTGTCCTTATCCTGCAGCAGTAACAGCAGCCGCTGCGGGAAAACACACACTGTCATCCGCCCCGCGACCAGGCAGAGAGGCTCGGCCAGGGGAGGACGGGACAGAGAGCCCGGTCACTGGGGCCCACCGTAAAGAAATCCACTGGCCCCTATCACCGAGACCCTAGTGGGAAGCACCTAACATCTGGATTACATTGTTTCAAAAGTAAGGGCTGGATACATGTAGCTCAGGGCTACAGTGGTTGCCTAGCGTGCCCAAAGCCCTGCACTGGATCCCAGCACTGCAAAACCGTAAGTAAAGCAAAGCATCAAGTAAGATCCCTAAGAATTTTTGTAGGTCATGATGGTACACATTTGTATCCCAGTATTCTGGGAGGCTGAGGGCGGGGGATCACAAGTTTGAGCCCAGCCTGGGCAACTTAAGTGTCTTGGTGAGATCCTGTCTGAAAATAAAAAAATTAAGAGAAGGGCTAGGAAAAAAAAGAGAAGAGCTAGGGATATAGCTCAGTGAATAGGCCTTCAGTTCAATCCCCAGTACTGACAATGAAGAAAAATATTTCAAAAATAATGAACATCTATTTTGTAATTGAAAAAAAGTAATGCTAATGGTGGAAAACATTGAAAAAAACAAAACAAAACACAAAAAGAGGTCTAGGCGGGTGCAGTGGCACACACCTGTAATTCCAGCACTCGGCAGGCTGAGGCAGGAGGATCATTGCAAGTTCGGGACCAGCCTGGGCTACAAAGTGAGCTCAAGGCCAGCCTGAACTGCATAGCAAGACCCTGTCTCAAAAAACAAAAACCAAAAAAAAAAAAAAAAAAAAAAAAAAAAAAAGAAAGAGCTCTAAAGTTCTCATTTTACCCACACATAACCATTCTCCTAAGTCAAGAGATTTCAGTAAAACAACTAAGATGTATTACGCCCAACAATGAAAGTAATCACTCTGTAATGATTACATTGCAAAATGTAACCATTTCGTTCTACAATCCACAGCGATCTTACCCTGTTTACAGAACCGAAGGAAACACTGCATGTTGATGCACTGCTGTATCATGACACAACCTCCAATCAGAAAACACAGGCTTAGCTGTGTCACCACTGTCCCTCAGAGACCCCTCTTTTTTTAGTGTGTTTGGTTGTTTGCTTTTTGCTAATGGTACCGGGGATGGAACCTATGACCTTCCAGCTCAGCTACAATCCCTCTGTCCTTTTTTAAAATTTTTTAAATTTTGAGACAGGATCTCAGGTTGCTCAGCTGCCCAGGCTGGCTCAAACTTAAGATGCTCTCGCCTCCCAGTGTGGATTCTTTAATTAACATCCTACACGCATGACCCTTCAGTGCTGAGGGATCCATTTTTGGAATGCTCATAACAATAGAACACAAAGAAATGTGTTCTCTTCAAATTCTTGTTGTTTGTATTTTTCTAAATAACACATGAATTTCAGGCAAAAATTCAAAAAATTTCAATCTTCAGCATAAACAGGTTAAGCATCAGCTAGGTATGGTGGCGCACACCTTAATGTAGCACTTAGGAGGCTGAGGCAGGAGGACAGCAATGAGTTCAAGCCCAGCCTGAACTACTGTACAAAACAAGAATCACAAAAAAAGGAAAAAGACTTAATTGTCCATAGAACACATTGGCTTGAGAAAGACTGTTACACTTGTAATATGTTGAGGTTTTTTTTTTTCTGTCCTTTTTTTGGAGACAGGGTCTCACTAATAGTTCAGGCTGGCCTTGAACTCACTTTGTAGCCCAAGCTGACCTTGAACTCACAGTGATCCTCCTGCCTCAGCCTCCCGAGCGCTGGGATTTTGGCATGTACCACCATGTCCAGCCTTCTTACACGGCGTTTTTT